GGGAACTCAAAAAACTAACTAATATGGGAACTTGCTGCACAACGGGCTGTTTAGATGCAAATGTTTGCTTAATATTGATGTTTTTCTACCACAAAACACTTATTCTATACAGACCTCTAGATTTCTTGATTCTCTTCTTAATGCTTTCACCAACCCAGCTGTGGTCACAGAATTTAGTCCCCAGGAAGCCTGAAGGAAGATGAAGGGCCCTTGGACCAAACGAAGTTACTGAATATATTCCGCGAGTTCCTTGGTGAAATACCAAGTTATGCCAGGTTAAGCAGGTTTCTTTTCCCAGTCATTTAACAGATAGTTATTGAGTACCCTGCCTTTACAGTGTTCCCTAGTGAGGAAGCAGGGGGGAAAACAAACATTTTAACAGTTGATTTAATTGATTAATTTTAATTTGGATTAGAGCTTAAGGGAAACAGAATCCTCAAACAGAGCCACACTGGAGAAGACCTGCATTGGTTAAGCTGCACAGAATAGGTCTCTGGGAAAAAGTGGGGCTGACCCCTAACAGACAAGGAATTGCCCATGCAGAGAGAGAAGTAGGGGAATCCAAGCCGAAGAAACTGTGCTCACAAACAGGCCAAGTTGAAGAAGAGCCGAGTGTGTTCGGAAATTGAAGACTTCTTATGAGCTGGACAGAAAAAGGCTACTAAGTGGGAAAGGCTGGTGGAAGCTACTTACCTACTCTCACAAACCACTTATTCCAGAACATGTCAGAGCCTGTATTATGCTAATGTTATCAAGAGGCTCTAAGAGAAGAGGCAAGAGTGTACTTCCTCCCAAATCTAAAGTCAAATCTCAAATCTCCAGAAGACTAATGCTTCCCCCCAAACCATCCCCAATACTCTGGGACATGTTCTTCTAAAGTGCTGATTGTTCTATTAGCTCTGATGGTTTCAAGACACAGGTGATTTGAAACGTGCATCACTATTCATTCTCTCACAAGGCCTGACGCCTCAGCTAATTATTCCGAGTGTCTGACATGGTTCCCTGAATTCTGGCAGGACTCATTTGCAAAGAAGATTTCCACAGATAGGCTCGAGCCCAGGCAAGTCAGTCACAAATTCAAACTGAACAGAGACTGTGAAAACTTGATTTTTAAATGCTTACATTCAACAGTGATAATCACCTATATTTTTATATCCTAGGCCAAAGACAGGGAAATAAGTGAGATACAGACTTGAAATAAGAATTAGTCCTTAGAAGAAGAAGAAAAACTTATTTCCCTTTATATTTAGATTTTAGCATCTAATTGCATATTTCCTTTTATTGCTACTTTATGGAAAATACTTCAAATTTATCTCATTTTTTTCTGTACTTTAATAATGAACAGTTTAATTGGTACATGGGAGAATACTGGACTGTTTACCTTTAAGATATTCCTAGAATCTTAAATCACTGTAGTCCAAGATATACTATGCCCTTTACACCCAGCTGGCTAGCTAATGAGTTACATAGATAATTACATAAATGAACAGTAATTTTTATCAAAACAGTACAGAATTCTTGAAAGGTATTGCTAGTCTTTTTAATGAATCTGTGGCATCACGGCCATCCCCCCTTTCTTTAAATAACCATTTCACACATGCTTGCAAATGATACTGTGAATGACATGATCCTCTTTCCCCCCGACATCCAAAACCAAAAATTCAAAATCCAATGAGACACATGCTATTATTCCACATTCAAAACCATCTCTGAAACCAGGAGTAGCTGTGTATACGTTAGGGATGGAGGTTTGGGCCCAGTTCAACTCCCCGTACATCTTCATTTGCCGAGTAACACAATCTATAGCCAACTGCTAACCAAGTCAATATGTGGTAAGACTAACAGCCACCCTAACTTGACTTGATAATTATTCTCCTTTAACTGACATAATATTCAATATACTGTTGTTGAGAGCAATAATGCTAAAATTGATGCCTTGAGGGCTACAAGACAATTGAGTTTTAGCCAGATAAAATGACTTGTACACTAATAGTGCATTATAGGGTTCCACAACCTATGGAACATCTTATAGTCTACTTGTACAAAAATGTTATATATAATTATATTCTAAGGCATTTGTGCATGCTTTATCATTACTACATATAATTTTAAAATATTGACCAATAGTCAAATAACACTGCTTTAGAGAAAAAGGGTTTATTTCTGTAGTCTAGCTCTTGTTTGGGGGGATTTGCTTTATTATTTTTTAAATGAGCATTTTTATCACTACACAAGTGATAATAGTTTTGTGTTCTCTGACTTTTTGCTTTTTTTCTAAACCAAGAACTGTTTTCTCCAAGGAGTAAGTAGATGATAAATGCTGAATAACAAAAAGCATCATTTAAATAAAATCTATATTATATCAATTCTATCAATAAACAAGACAGAAACTAAACCTAGTGATCCTCAAATGTAAAAATCATCTATGGTTTTCTCAAAATGTCAATTCTAGACTCTGAATGGAGAAATAGATTATATTAAATTTGAGGCTTTGTCAAAATGCATATTAAATTTAATGAAAATTAATCATAATTTAAGTATAACAATAAATGACAGTGTTCTTTATATGCAATATTTGACCTCAACAATAAGAGATTTTATAAATGGTTAGTTTATGGTTTTGGTGAATTTTTCTCTCACATTAATTTCTCTTGCAATTTTGTATCTTTAAAACCTGAGCCCTCATACAAAAATGAAATATGGAGTATGTTTTCAAAGCTTGCCTTACAGCTATGTTGAAATTTTGTGGGGTTTTTTTTTGGGGGGGGGGAGGGGACTAACATCTCTAATAATTTCAAGTAAAACAAAAAATAGGCACCAGTCAAGGCAGAACATTACGACCACACCGCAGAACATCCAAAAGGTTCGGTATTTACTGACAATCAGGTGCTGCAGTAAGCTGGGTTGTTAAGATGGCAAAGAATCACAGTCATGCAAATATCTATTTGTTTGGACAGAGAGACACCATGCAGATGCTCCACATAGCTTAGGCAAACATACAGTACATGCAGAACTGAAATACAGCAGTGATGATCAAACTAATAAGCATCTAAGTGGAGGCAGAAAGGACAATACTAGATTGGGGCAAAATACTTGAGTAAATAAAGAAAAAAGTGCTGAACCTAGCTAACAGTTCCATTCAAACATTTACAAGAGGTTTGTTCTTTCATGTAGGACAGGGTTAGGGAACGTCGGGCCCGAGGGCTGTATAAGGCTCTTCAAATCATTTGGTCTGGCCCTGCCAAGGCATTAGGGGTGAGTTAAATGTCTGACCAAATACAGCAGCCTAACTTTTCAGTTGATAATTTTGTATGGCCCTCGAATGAAGTTATAAATAACCATATGACCTTTGGCAGAGAAAGGTTCCCCACCACTGGTGTAGTACAGAATCAATCCAAAATGGACACTAATAATCGTGTTGTGGAAACGTCTGCAGAAAGACGTGGCCCGGATGTGTCTTGAGGCAGCATAATCGGGGATCCTTAAACTGGCTCCATGCTTTGTTTTTCCTGGCCCTTCCTCCTGGACCTTGTGCCCCCTCAGTTCCCCTGACCACCCAGGACTTAACTTTCCACTCACCCCACTGAAATGTCCCCATCCTGAGGCAAGTGAGAGAATGCTTGTGAAAGTCTTCTGTACACTGAAAATGTGATAGACAGGTATTCCTATTAACATCATCATCTCATCTTCAGAAGACCAAATTTTCTGTGCCTTCCAAGTTGACATCTCACTAAACGAAAAAATATGATTCTCTGCCTCCTATAGCAGACCTGGGAGCAGAAAGATTATTCCACTTCCCCTCTTTCTCTATGCTCACTCATCACCCCTCCCCTGCTCTCCTGCCCTGGCTAACACCTGGGGGGACCACACAGGAGAATGACAGGAATGTGTGTTTTGATGCCAGGTTAAAGCAAGGGGAGACTCGCGGGGCCCCCACTCCTCACATACCAAGCTGGCAGCCAAGGCCTTGCACTCAACACAAGGTAACTTGGGGAATAAACAGGCTGGCAGAGCCAAAAGCCATTGTTTTGAAGGGCTCAATCCTCCTGGTATTATCCCCGCAGGAAATTTCAAAAATCACTTCAGAGTCTACCTCTTCCACTATGCTCTCCTCTGGCAGGAGGGAGAACTTCTTCATCATCCATGTAGTCTTTTTGGGTCCTGGGGTCTCCCAACATGCTGTTTTCAACATTTACCCTTCAAGGGTCGTAGGAAGACAGATGGCCATAAAAATACTTCAGAGGCAAAGTACACAATGCAAAACCACTCATAACATACTGCAACATATGATGAAAGGGGGGCAGGGAAGGTTGCAGGGGAAGGGAGTGGAGGCTGAGGGCCTCCCAGAAGAGCTTTAAGACCTACTGACACAAAGAGAGGGTTCGGGCTGTAAGAGCAGGTGCTGTGAAGGCCAAATCTACAACCATGCCTGCTTGTTTTGGAGCGTGAAGGCTGACTGGTTACAAAAGCGGGGAATTTATAGACATTACAGTTCTTCCTTTGATTTGGACGAAGAAGCAATAATTAGTTAGGGTGCACAGACAACCAACAAAACACCGAACCTACAAATTAAGGGTGAGAACAAGCCTTAGTAAACCCAGATGAAATGTCATCTCAGATTTCCACACAGGCATCACCCACCTCAAAGAGCCCTCCCTCTTGAGTAGGGCTATAGCAAGACTTGCTGGAGAAGCCGGGGCGCTCATGGTGCAGGGAGAGAGAGCTGGATTCAAAAGGAGGCAAACAAAGCAACACTAGGCAACAGGCCACTGTTTCCTTCCTAACACACACCACTGAAGCCTGCTGTCAGCCTGCTGGGACGTCACCCCTTCTTTCCAATTTCCCCGCAAGCCTGCCAAAAGCACCGTTCTAACCGGGAGAGGGTATGCCTGCCTGGGACTGCGACAGGCAGGAAGGAGACCAGGTTTGCTTGCCAAGGGCTTTCACCCAACCCCTCCTAGAGCTGGCCACAGACACCAGCTTCAGTGTCCTCCCCCTACCTGAAGGATGTACCCCCGAACGTAGTCCCGTAGCGTCCAGCCCAGGCCGTGCAGGATGTGTAGCACCTCCTCCTGCTTCAGGACACTGAAGAGCCGGTCCAGCAGGATCTTTAGCCGCACGGGCACCGCTTGTGTCCCGTAGAGCATCAGGCTGCTGATGTCAAACACCACGTTGGACTGCACAATCTCCACTTGCGTGGGGTGGTACAGGTGCTGGGTGCTGAGCTTATCCAAGGCTGTGGTGGTCCCACCAAGGTTCCGGAGGTGGATGGGAATAAAGAGACAAAGGGAAAGGACAAACAAAGCAGAAATAAGTTACTGGAAGTTATCAGGGCTCCATTTCTAAGGCTGCAGATCACCACAGGAAAACCACATTAAGTCTTTAAGCAAGTGTTTGCAATGTAAATAGTTCTCTTCCCACCTCCTCCCTGTTTTGTTTATAAATTGCAGACTGCAAAAGACAGCAAGAAAATACAAAATGTATTCAACTTTCAGAAAGAGAGCCACTGAGGATGTTTCTAAATGACTGCAGCTGACTCTACAAACCAGACTAATTAATTAGCTAATTGAATTATGGTGCAACCCAAGTTATCATGGTGTCCTCCCTTCCTCCACCAAAGGAAAAACGAACAACTTCCACCTTATGTCCTAAGAACAGGTTCGACCAATATAATTTTAGAAAATAAAATCTGCCCTAGCCGGTTTGGCTCAGTGAATAGAGTGTCCTCCTGTGGACTGCAGGGTTCCAGGTTCGAGTCTGGTCAAGGGTGCATACCCAGGTTGTGGACTCCATTCCCATTAGGGGAGCATACAGGAGGCAGCTGATCAATGATTTTCTCTCATCACTGATGTTTCTATCTCTCCCTTCCTCTCTAAAATCAATAAAGTTATATTTAAAAAAATTAAAATAAAATCCACCCCTTGTAAAACCTGAATGGTTTAAAGAGGAAGAGAAGCATGTTCTTCAGAATGCAGGGGCCTAAAAGGCCTAATTTCAAAGGAATAATAAGGAAAGCTGACATCAGAGTAGGGCTCTCAAGTTAAATTACCAGGAGCGAAGGGAGATTATCCAGAGACTTAGGTCTCCCACTTTTACCTCTTGCTGTTCACCTGTGAGATTTAGTTTAGTGTTCACTGGCATGTTCTATAAAAGTTATCCAGGAGAAACAAAAACAAACAAAAAAAAGAAGAAAAAAATACATTCAAGCCATAATTTAGTCATCTTTTAAACAGCTCTGACCAGGGTTTAGTGTCAAATGAAAATGGAAAACAATGACTATAATCAAAGTTTGAGAATTTCTGTGAATTTCAACTGTTACCTCAGTACGGAAAACGAAGGATGACCATTTTCAGAGTAAATATTTTAATTAAATTAATATTTCAACAAGTAGGCCTTTTCCTCCTCAAATCTAAGAAATTATCTCTCTCCTCTAGATCTTAAAGCCAAGATCAGATCATACTTCGAGTCCCCATCCTTATCTGATTTACTGGGAATTAACTATTGCAAATAGTTACTATTGCAAATAATATATTTTTCCTCAGTTTCTTTAAAGTGAATTAAGATAGCATTGTATTATATCCAGGGCTCAAAGAGATGCTGCTGCAATGATTAATGAGATAATGAATGAGAGGTGCTTTGAACTCCTGAAGAGGACACAAAAGCATTAGGGCAACTGTAAGAATTATACACATATGGCCTTCTGGGGATTAAAACAGATAAACACATGAGCCTGAAAAAATGGTCATCTAATCTCTTGAGTGAGGACAGCGGCTTTCAGATAACATCCAGGCTCAAATTCTAACTATACCTGAGAGTACGGTACCCAACGTTTCTGCAAGTTCTAAATCCCTGCCTGGTCTTTCTCACCCACCCTTCCCTCTCCACCTTAGCCCATAACGGTAGGTACTGTACTGTATTGTACATGTGCACTCTGAGTAACTCTTATTTGAATATACCAGTGTCTCTGCATATTAATGCAGGTATTTAAAAGTGCATGCACGCACACGGTTTTTACTTATTTGAAATGTAGTTTTTCAGAGCTCCTCCTCCACTCTGGTTTCCTCCTGACTTGTGGTCACTAGAGAGTTCATGTACTCTTGATAAATTGCTTTCTTACATCCATAGTGTAAAGGCCCTTATCATTTACCCGCTGGCTTCATTCAACACATTTACTCCCAGGAATACTTTGTCAAAGAGTTCGGGTTTTCTCATACTTCATTTCTTGCAGTTGATTTGTCTGATCTTTCCTATTCTAGTGGTTGAGTCAACTTTGAATAAATAGCCTTAAAAATTAATTTAACGTTTGGGAAAGATAAGGGATTCACAAGCCTAGGGATTGAAGACTTCTCTCACCCCACAGGGCATTGAGCCTGCAAAAATGCAGGAAAGAAGTATTATTATCCCAGTTCTTCTTCAAAAACAGCTTAACTACTCTGCTGAGTGGCTGCTCTGCTCCCAGAATCCAGTGACTAGGTCAGGGAAAACCTGCTCTCCAACTCTGGTCCATCAACCCTCCTGGCCCAGATCAATCACTTTGTCACAAAATACTCTGCTTATACCACAACAAATAGGAAATTGAGAGGGTTTAGCAGAGGGAAGTAATTGACACTAAATCCTGATTTTTGTCCATGTGTTTGGACCTTGTACTTATGCACTGAGTACATGTAGGTGTGTGTACCAATGTGTTCAAAGGCTCGGTGGGAAAATGTCATATCAGCCCTCTCCCTCCCACCCCTTAAAAACAGCAGGCAGTTTTTAGAAGATAAAGAAGACTAACCTGTTGAGGGTAGAGAAACAAAGAGAAATTGTTCAGATAATTGAATGAGCACAGGTGGAATAGGTATGGCAAAAACATTTCCCTAGATACGCTTTTGAGAACACCAGAGAGTGAGAGAATAATAAGGACATTCCCTGATTCCTCTTCACACTAGTAAGTATGACATATGTTATGAAGTAGGAATTCTGTTACAAGCCACAGAGACATAGAACACAGGTCAATAACTTTTTTCTGTGAAGGACCAGATAGTAAATATTTTTACTTCTTATGGGTTTTACATTCTCTTCCCTAACTAATCACTTCTATAGTTATGAAAGCAGGTCAGACTGAAACTAATGGGCATGTCTGTGTTACAATAAAACTTTATTTATACAAACAAGCACCTGGCCACATTGAGCTCTGTTATGGAGGATGAAAGGGTGAACTGGATAGGTTTTAAAAATTCAGTAACAGATAAGAAACGATTCCTAAGAGTGCAATTTAAGCAGATATTACCTAGAAGATAAGCCATAGACAAAGGCTGGAACAATATTAAAATGCCCAGCTTGCATATGTCAACTGTAAATTTTGGCATAAACATATCATCAAACATGATATGTCAAATTTCTTGAATGTATCAATATTTTCTGCTTTATAATTATAAGGTCATAGAGAGTCACCAAGTTGTCAACAACTTTTGGGGATGTCTCCTTGAGAAAAAAGAACAAGTGCTGATTTTTTAAGTGTCATTAATATCAATAAACTGAAAACTGGACTTCTGCTTAATGTCATGATCTTCCTATGTCTGAATGTGGAGGACTCAAATTTGGATCTTAGTAGGGTTAGAAATATGAGTTGGGTCAATGGGATGAAGGCAGGTTAGGGCAAGAATTTTTTCAGTGGCATGAAGTGGGAAATGATAGTCACCTGCTTTATACTTTACTAGAGGCCCAGTGCACAAAATTCGTGCACAGGTAGGGTCCCTAGGTCTGGCAGGTGATCAGAGCTGATTGGGGCCTTCCTGTTGCCGGCCGGGGCTTTCCTTCATTCTGCACCTCCCCCTGGTGGTCAGAGAGATGGGTCTAACCATCTGCTAAATAGTCCTGTACAAATGGTATTGCCAAAGTATCATTTTCCAATAAAATCTTAACCCAAAACTGGGTATAAAAAAACATAAAAGTGAAGCTGGAGTGAGCATGGATTAGAGAACTTGCTTGTTAATCCCCTTTTCTCTTCAACTTGTTTAAGCATCTCAGTTGGAACCCTAGAGTTCCCAGAAGCACAGTTTGAAAACATACTTTTCTACACAATAAAATGGAATCAATTGTTTTACCTGCTTTGCACCTACTCTCTTTCATTCTAGTAACAGAAACTGAATTTCCCTTTGAGGAATCATTCTTCCCCTATCTTGTAAAAAGAATATTCCTTAAGCCAGGCCTGGAAAACCAGCATATCCCAGTCGCTTGGCCACAGGGATGGGCAAGTGACCTAGTCTGAACAATGAGGTTGAATCAAGGACTTTAGTTAGAAGTAGTGGGAAATTTTTCTCTTTCCTCAAAATCTGAAGCTGGTAAATATATCCTTGAGAACAAAAATCTCATGGAAGGCAGGTGGGATGCAGGTGGTCTGAGAAAGACCAGGTACTGCCAATATTGTTTGATCCAGAAGATACGGACATGGTCATTTTGGGTGCTGGTACTTTACCTAGAATCTTGGGATACAAAAGCCAACAAACTCTCTCTTTTTATGTCTGCTTGGAGTAGGATTCTGTAACTTGTATCTAAAAGAGCCTTAACTAAGACAACTACCTTTGGGGTTTCCAGCTGGATACCATGTAATTGCAAAGCAGGTGTCAGTGGTTCAGTAAAAGGTATTTTAGTTCCAGGTCAAATGCAGTTTCTCCAGTGACTGGAATGAAGTATCCTTAAAAATTTCATATCTTACACAAATTTATAAAGTGTGATAAGTGCCATCAACATTAATAAATAAAAAATACTTATGGGGAAATAAAGGAAATGATCTCTAAGTACTAACTAAACAGCATGCATCATTTCAGGGTTTTACAATGATCTCATTTTATCCTCTCAAAAATTAAAAAACACACATTATAACTATGATCACGTATTTGGAGATCACAGACTCAATGTGGTTTAGCAACCAGCCTAAGGGCACCTAGTTATGTCTCCCAAGACAATTCTGTTTCTACCACATGTTCAGATAAATAGTCAATAAGGAACTCTGGGAACTTGGAAATCTTCATCATGTTAGAAGTCCCTAACTCACAGCAGTCTGGGCTTCTTGCCCATCACTCTGCTGAAGCAAGCATTTCAAAGGTCACCAACACCTGCCTTACTATGAAATCCAATAGCTTTTCTCCTTCATTATTTTCCATGATCTCTCCATAGCAGCTGACCTTATTGATCACCACTCCTCCTAAATGCTCTTCTCCTTCACTCATGCATACATTCATTTATTCACCA